ATGTTCCGAAAAAGAAACACCTAGCGGAAGGCGATGACGGTATTGACGTTAGGCCAGGTTGTTGCCGGCGATCCGGGCGGCGCCGACGAGGTATGCGGAGAGCGGATAGCAGATTTTTCGTCGGCGACAAGGCCAAATTCCGGAACTATGCTAAATTGCTAATGACTGGCTCTGTGGATCAAGCCTCAAGGGACAATTTTTCCAAAAATAAAGAAACTATTCAATTGAAATTTGAAGGTGAATATGAAAAAACAATTATAATCTATAAAATTAACCATTAAAATTTTGGAAATGAGAGAAATATGAGGAAGATGATTAGTCGAAACCTTGAAGAAGGAAGAATTAGAAGTTGGACAGACTGCTGGTGTTTGTCGTTTGAGAAAAGGAATTCTTAAGATTTGGGGCACTTTTTTTAGATTGGGAAGAAAATAAATCGGCCAACAGGATAAATTAAAGGCTACATTAATTAGGTTAAATTAAAGGCTACATTAATTAAAGAGTAACGAAAGAGTATGAGAGATTTGGTGCACATTTATGCATATAATTATATTCAGTAATGCTAAGGAGCCAATTGTTGGCTCCGTTACGGAGCGAACAACCAATTATACAGCTCCATGTGGGCTGTCCCACATTAGCCCACATGACTCTAATGTGGGACAGCCCCACATGGAGCTGTCCCATTGGCTGTTGGCTCCATTAGGGAGCCAACAGTTGACTCCTTAGCATTACTAATTATATATATATACAATACATAAATATATATATACACTATAATATAACTATAGTGGGCCTGGCACATGGCCCTTTCTTTTGTTTGGGCCCTGGGCCGTAGCCCAGGCTGCCTTGGCCTAGGGCCGACTCTGAATGTTGACATTTGGTGTTTTAATTATAGGCTAATTTTTTTATTTACCACAAGAATATAAATATATTGCAAATATACGAACTCTTATATTTTATTAGCATTCATACCAAAATGAAGTGCATTTATTTGGTGCTCAATTGTAAACTGCCGATATCAAAGGAATTTATTTTCCTACAATCACTTCCATATAGTAATCCGTTGGAGAAAAAAAAGAAATGGATATGGATCATCATCTTCTTAAGGCGCTGTTTATTTTTTTCCCAATTTGAATTTCAAGTGTACCATCTCTCTCAAAATATAGGAAACACATGACAAAAAATATATACAAAATATACACGATTTTTTCGTAATCTATTAATATATAATAAGGATTAACTTAATTCACTTTTAGTAATCTTTTCCCGCTAAATCATTAATTATTGTCTAAAATTAGTAACTTAACAAACTTTCATTAATTACATATTGTAATATGGAATAGATGTTTTTTCCGATTAGAATCTCTATGAATATGGAATAGATATTTTTTTCCGATTAGAATCTCTATAAATATTTACTTAACAAACTTTCTATTATATAATAGATGTTTTTTCCGATTAGAATCTCTCTAATATGGAATTTAGAATCTATTCTGTAAAAAAAAATAATTAAATCTATACTTATATAAAAAGCTATCTTATTTACTATAATTT